TTTGGAAGGTGGCGGGTGCATTCGTGAGGCCGAATGGCATCACCGTGAACTCGTAGTGGCCGAAACGCGATCGGAACGCTGTCTTCGGTTGGTCGGCTGCAGCGACGCGGATCTGATGGTAACCACTACAAAGATCAATCAAAGCGGTTGCCTGCCAAGGCGGTCGAACAACTCATCAGAACGAGGCATGGGGTAGCTGTTCTTAACCGTGTAGCGGTTGAGACCGCGATATTCGATGCAGAGATGGAGAGTTTCATCCTCTTTGCGAGTAAAGAGGACGAGTGCACCCCACGGGGAGTTGCTGGGTTTAATGTCACCCAGTCTCAGGAGCTCCTCAAGCTGACGCTTCAGTTCGGTGGCCTCGGGAATCGAGAGTCTGTAGGGTGCCTAGTGGTGAACACGATAGTCAGGCACAAGCTGAATGGAGTGCTCGACATCACGCATCGGTGGGATGCCGGCGTACGAGAACGACGATGGGAAAACGTCGTGGTACTCTCGGATGAGGTCACGAACTGCGGGCTCCAGGTCAGCCGTATATCGTGCGAGTTCCTCAGCGTCAGCGTCAGCGCGCGACGGCGGGGTGGACTCGACGGACGGCGGAGGGACGGAAGTAGAGATGGGAGCCATGGAGATAGAGGGAGGATCTGGCTCCAGAGGGATGAGCTCGGCGTCGGGACAGGGTGGATCATAGTTTCAGAGATCCGTCACGTCCACCATAAAGAAGGTGACGTCGTCCTGTCGAATGAAGTGAGCGAACTGCCGAGGCGAGGTGACAGTGATAGAGGGGGGTGGTGTGGGCACTGAAGGCTCCGGGGGAGGAGGATCGGGGCATGGTATCGCCGTGGTACCTATGAAAGGTACGCGATACGTCTGTCCACACTTCGTTTTGAGAACGAGAGTGTTGGTCGCCCAATCGGCCTCGGTGCTGCGGAACCGACGAGACCACGGAGTGCCGAGAATGAAGTCGTACCCCGTCTCCATCACATCGAAATGTGCAGAGGAGCGGTGGCGACGAGACGCCAGGGAACGATCAGTCGACTCGAGAGTGAGGAAGAAGGGGAGGTCGGTGACCGTCTGATCAAAGAAGCGCTGGGTCTTGTCATCCCCTAGGGTAACGGAGATGGGAGTCGGAGACCCTGTCGTGGGTAAGTGGGCTTTCTTCACCACGCGTGGGTGAATGAAGTCGCCCTGAGAACCGGAATCCCACAGCGCTGAGTACACCCTCGTGGATGTCCCGAGTCGTACTGGGATGATCGGGAGGGTGCGATCAGGGTCAAAGAGGATGGCGAAAAGGCGACGCAGTGCAGCGACATGGAGGGTGAGTCGCTCCTGACGAGCCTGGAGCATGCTCAAGTCCAGAAGAGAGGACACAACGTCCTCGCGAGTAGCAAGCTGCTCGCTGCAACGGGCTGAGCGAATGGCTCGACGTGTCGGTAGTCGCGGCGGGGAAGGAGGGGAGACGGTGGTCTGCGAAGGCACAGATGGTACTGCGACAGAGGGCTGAGTACACTCTGTCGAGTCCTGCGATACCTCAACTCCAGTAGCGAGAGGGGCGAACCGCGACGGAGATGTCGGGAAGCCTACTACTGAGGAGGGCGCAGGTGTACACTGCACCGTGGCTAGGAGGCGCCGCGGGGATATGAGGCGCCAGGGGGGGACTGAGCACGACGCTGACGAGAAAGATCAGCGTAGTGGCGGTTGAGGGCGGTAGTAGAAGGGCATCGCGAGGAGGTATGACCGTCCAAGCGGCAGCGCAAACACCCACATCGGCCCAGAATAGCCGCGCGCTCCTCAGCAGAAAGGACACCGCGAGGAGGGACGAAGCCCTGAGGGAGGTCCTCCTGAGGGACCTCGGGGGGCGACGCGCCAGCGTGACCGGGGCGGCTGCGTGCCCGAGAGAGGACGGAGAGCACGAGCTGAAGGCGCTCAGCTGCCGGGAGGGTCGAGTCCTCCAAGTGATAGTGGACGGCCTCGCAGAGATCGAGGTCGTCGCTGTGGTCGCCCTCAGGTGACAGTGGGGCAACAACGTCCTGCTCACCATACTCCAGCGTGCTGAAACGGCGCGAGAAGTAGCGGCCCTGCTGCGTGAAACGGCGGGGGCGACCGCGGAAAGGGGAACGACGTTGGGAAGTGCCGTGAGAGGAGGAGGAGGCGTAGCCCGTGCGCTGGGGCTGGGAGGAGGAGGCGGGCTCGCATCCGCTGGTGGTCCCTGGCGGCCTCGTAAGCCTGTGAGGCCGATGTGAACTCGTACCGCCATAGCTCGGAGCGGTACTCGAGCGGAAGGCTGGCCAAGAAACGATCGATAAGGGCAGCCTCGGGGAGGAATGCCACGTCGCAAACGAGGCGGGCGTCCTGAAAGACCTTGATGTGGTGATCCAGGCCGCCAGCGCCACCAAAGCCGGACCAGCGTGTAGTGACGACACGCTCGAAGGCGTCAGTCACGTCGTATCGGGCTCCGAACCGATCCTCGAGGAACGCCTGGAAATCCACGAAGGTCGGAGTCCGACCCTCACGAAGGGAGTAGGCATAGAAATCCTCCTAAGCCTCGAAAGGACCGCCACGCAGGCGCGTGGAGAGGTGACCCACCCACGTCTCGGGTGTGGCGCCCATGAGCTGGAGTGTGCGGGTGGCAGACTGCAGCCACCGAGACACGCGTATGCCTGTATCGTCATACAAGGCAATGTCCGACAAGCGGATGAGTGGTGCGCCACCGTTTTGGCGGCGAGGGGATCGAGTAGCGGAGGCCTGCGCCACGGCTGAGTAAGTCGGCGCAGGTCCTGGAGAAAGGGGCGCAGCTGACTGTGCGGCCGGGGAGCATGGGGGAGAGGCGGTGGCAACAGCGGCAGGCTGCGAGGGTGCTGCGGTAGAAGAGGTCGCAGCAACCGCGGGAGTAGGAAGAAGGTAGGAAGGAGTTGTATAGGGTGCAGGGCGCGGAAAGCGAGCCTGCATAGGAGGRAGGGTAGAGGAGGTAGGGGGTGCGCCCGAAGGCGCGGCCACCTGTGAGGGTGGGGGTGGCTGAAGGCGTAAGAGGGCGAGGTCGGCCCGGAGCTGGGCAATCTCATCCGCGAGACCTCGAACGTAGGTCGATCGAGGTGTGGTAGGAGGAAGAGTGGAGGGGTTGGACGCACAAGCGGCGCGGGGCATCCCAGAGGGGGGAGAGCCAGGTGGCGCTGTGGTCGTGCGAAGGGGAGGGAGAAGCGGGGCACCCGGAAAAACTGAGACCATGGTAGTGGGTTGTTATACCGTGGCCGTAGGGACCGCGATCTGGGCGGGTGCGCCCGTAGACTGAGGGGGGGCCTGGCTCATGGCGGCCGTCGTGCTAGGGGCGTGGACAGTCACCAAGATGGCCGGGTCAGGGGCAACGGAGGAGGAGGCTCCGCCGTGGCCACCCTGTCGGAGGACGGGGGACCCGGACTGGGAGCCAGGAGATGACGGACACGCAGCGTCCCGGAGTTGCTGCATGCCGGCGGCAAGGGTCGCCACCTGCGCCTGTAAGGGCGGGAGGGTCGCGAGTTGCACCTGGATGGGCGCAAAGGTCGCGAGTTGCGCCTAGATGGGCGCAAGGAGGGAGGTGAGGAGGGTGTGTAGATCCCCCTGGGGCTGATGGCCCTGGTCTGCCGGCACGGGTGTGGAGCCCGATGCCATGGTTATCGCCGTGTCGGCGGCGTGTGATGCTCCGTCGGCCATGGGGAGATGACGGACCGGACTGGAGGGGGCCAGAAGAGGTCCGCGTGAGCGGAGGGCGTAGGGGGAAGTCCGCGGTAGAAAGCGGCGAACGGCGCTAGCAAGGCTAGCACGGGCGCCGTCAAAGGGGGAGGGGTGGTTCGGGTCCAGGGTGCCCGAAGAGGACGGGAAAGTAGGGGGGTTTTGAGGAACCTAAACCCTACAAACCCTCTAAGAAAACCCTAACCGAGGTTTAAGTGGCTAGGGTAGGGTACCGGTGACCTAATCAAGAAAGTAAAATAGCAAGCATGGGGGGGGGGGGAATGGGAGAAAAATAAATAAACAGCGAGATTTCGAGAGAAAATAAAAATAATTAAGAAAATAAATAAATAATAAAAATAATTAAAGAAATAATTAAAGAGATGTGAAGGGAAACAATATTATTTTTTTGAAATTTTCGGCAGCATTTCCCTACCCCCCACGAGGTCAAGAATGTGCCAAGGGAAAAGGAGAGACCAAGGTGAGCACACTAGGAATGCCGCAAAAAAAAAAAAAAAAAAAAAAAATCAGAAAATATATAAAGAAATAATGAATAAATAAATAAGTAAAAAAGTGTGTGAGAAGGTGGGGAGAAATGGGTTATCTGATTTTTCAAAAAATTTTGCAGCATTTCGTTACCCCCATGGGATCGAAGTGTGCCGAAAAGACTAAGTAAGAGAAAATCAAAAAATTTCGGCAGCACTTCGTTACCCCCACGGGGTCAAAACGTGTGCCGAGAGCAAGAAAGGCTAACACCTAATCAGATTTAGGGTTGCCGGCAAGAAATTTGAATTTTCAGAATAAATAAAAATAAATAAAATAAATCAGAAAATAAGAAAAGAGGGTGGGGAAGAAGATGAGAAAACTAACAACTAATCAGATTTAGGGTTGCCGTAGAGAAAATCGAATTTTCAGAATAAATAGAAAAATAAATGAAATGAATCAGAAAATCAGAAAAAAGGGTGGGAAAGAAGAGATTTCGAACTTTTGGAAAAAAGAAAAGATAAATCAAAAGAGAGGTGGAAAAAAGAAAAACAGAAAAATTTTCGAAGTAGGGGGGAAGGGGAATGAAAAGTGAGGGAGAAAAGAAAGAAATAGGTGGGGGGAGATGAAAAGATGAAGTGGGAGGAAGGGGGAATGGTGTGGTGGTAGTTGGGGGAGAGGAGGGATGGAGGAAGGTGGACAGGGATCAAGAGGCAAAAAGAAAAAGAGGAAGAAGAGAAAAGAAATAAAGAAAGGAGAGTAAAAGACTGCGTGTTGGGAGAAAGGTGGGGTGGGGAAGATAAAAGGAGGAGAGAAAAGATGCAGTAGAAGGTGGGGGAAAGACAAGGGGTGAATAAGAGGAGAGAGGAGAGGTAGGGAGAGTGGGTTAGTAAAGGGAGAGGGGAGAAGGGAGTGATACCTGGCCCTTGGTGTCTCCAAGGGCACAAGGTACACCAAGACCA